GGGGGACAGTGCCTAGGGCACAAAGGTAGGCTCTGCTGCATCAATGTGTGGATGATTCAGTCAATGCCAGTGTGGCATGGCACTGTGGCTGAAAACCACCTCCCCCGGGGTGGAAGAGAATGCAGCAGTGGTGAGCAGAGTGGTACGGGTAGATCCACAAGGTGATGAACAAGCCACTCCTACACTGAGGAGGAAGCTGTAAGTGGGTATACAAACTCAGGACAGTAACTTCTGATGTTCCTGAAAGAGCATCACGCAATGGGGATCTGTAATTCCTCTTCTGCTTCTACACACTAACATCTCTCCAACTTCACTGGTAAATTCATTTCTAACAGAAGAAAATCACCTTTTGCCTTAGCTACTGAGATTTCCAAGTGCTGTGTTATACACCCAAGAGTGATGAGTGTGGGCTCTTTTATTTGGGGTTCACACTGAACATGCGGCTGCTGCAAAGGCATTTTAAGAACACCAAGGTAATTCAAAATAAACTCTCACCAGCAGGTGAGCGGCCGTCCCATTCACCCTCAGCTAAAGCAGAGTCACGGGTGCTTGCTCTGCAGCCTGTCTTCCAAGCTGGAAATAAGACGACACGGCCACTTTGACCCTATGTTGAAGAGTATTTTCAATGACTCTGTGGACGAATTTCTGAGGCTAGGGTGTACATTGCCTCAGGAAGAGAGACAAAGCAAAGCTGAAATCTGCAGGCTGGCTGGCACTCGGTTTCTGGTTTGATGCTGACTGAGGGAAGCAGCCTGTGGCTACGAAATGAAGAAAATGGTTTTACCTTGGGCTGCACAGGCGGATAATGAGCAGCTGGCCCCAGTCACCTGGCCCTCAACCCCGATTTCATATATTTGCCAGACAGAGTGAGCACAGGCTAGCAACCTGTGCTGTGGCCACTGAGGAGAGCCTAGCAGCAGCCTGGTCAGTGGGCAGGCCTGACAGGAAGGGCACTGAAGGAGGCTCTAGGCCCGGGGAAGGCTGTTATGTATGCCAGGATGAAGCCCAGGAAGGAGAGGCATAGCGAGAGCAGAGCAGCAGTAGGAACCCTGCCAACTGGCCACTGACCTCTGGTTCCCACATTTGCATTTAAAAGCCATTATGGAAAGGTAACTTACTTTGAAGACACAGTTATATTCAAAGCACACTGCTTTCTCGGCCAAGGGACGGTGACCACAGCTCAGTAGGGATCCTCCCAGGAGAGGGAGCCGGGAGATCATGTAGGAATAAATAGGTGAGGGAAATCCAGCTTGTCTGCATTGGAAACTCTGGTGTATGGAGGCCTTGCCCAATCACACTCACTTCAAGAGGTTTGAGGCATTCCATTAATGTGGACTTGCTTTGAGGGAGTTTTGGGAACTTAACAGTTTCAGTTAACTTAACTGAAAAGCCATAAATATGGTGACCATATGTTTTGAATCTAAACTGGGCTTGGGGGACCTGGGTGGCTAAGTTGGTTAAATGTCCGAGTCTTGATTTTGGCTCAGGTCATGATCTCACAGTTTGTGAGTTTGAGCCCCGTGTTGTGCTCTGGACTGACAGCTCGGGGCCTGCTTGGGATTCTCTCTCTCTCTCTCTCTCTCTCTCTCTCTCTGCCCCTCCTCCATTCACGTGCATGCACACTCTCTCAAAATAAACAAACATTAAAAATAAATAAATCAACTGGGCTTAATACTGGACTATTCCATAAATACAGGGCATATAATCATGGTCCAACGAAGGCTGCAGGTCTAGGGCACCTGGCTGGCTCAGACAGTAGAGCGTGCAACTCTTGACCTTCAGAGTCATGAGTCTGAGCCCCACATTGGGCACGGAGCTTACCTAAAAACAAGAATAAGGCTGCAGGTCTATTTGGAAGGTTCAAGACAACTGATAGGAGAAGTGGAAGACTTGATTCAGATGACAACTTTCCTAAAGTAATTCAACTTGGGGGGGAGAGGAGTGGGGAGGAAGGGTGTGGTTCTTCCAGCAATACTGAGGCTCGAAATACCTGGAGAGAGACAGACAGACAGACAGACAGAGAATACAACAAGAAATATCTATCTATCTATGTCTATGTCTAGAGAGAGAGAGAGACAGAGACACAGAGAGACGGTACAGTGAAAAACCTGAGAAATGACTTGCCCCAAATGGCAAGAGCAGCAGAAGCAGAGTAAGAGCCCAAGACTCTGCCCCCAAGATAATGCCCTCGGCACTCTCATAATAACACCTCCCAGGAGCTGGACCTGAAAGGCCAAGTAGGGTGAGAGAAGTTTAAAGAGACAGAAGAAGCTAGAAGAGGAAACACATATGGAAAAGACAGAGGGGGGCAAGCAGAGAAATGGATGAGAAGGGGATGAAGCCCCAAGTAGGGGCTCAGTGACAGAATGGATTATGAACTCATTCATTCAAAGTATTGGCTTTTTGGGGCGCCTGGGTGGCTTAGTCAGTTGAGCGTCCGACTCTTGGTTTTGGCTCAGGTCTGATCCCACGGTTGTGGGATTGAGCCCCACATCGGGCTACATGCTGAGGGCAGAGCCTACTTGAGATTCTCTCTCTCTCTCTCTCTCTCTCTCTCTCTCTCTCTCTCTCTCTGCCCCTCTCCCCAACTCACACGCTCTCTCTCTAAAAGAAAAGTGTTAGCTTTTCAAGAATATTAACTCAAAACAAACTCCTGGTTTTCAGTTCACTTGGTCTGAATCACAGTAAGTTACTGCTACCCTTTCAATTGTTCTTCACCTGCTCTAATTCTTAAATCTGGAAAGGGTCAGCTCCAACAGCTCACCGAAATGGGGAAAAGAGAATTATCCTGTGAGTTTCTGGCAAAAGCAATTAAATACGTGGGTTAAAAGACATCAAGCTATGAACCACAGGTTCTCAGCTCCTAAGCCAGAGAAACTAAAGCCATCTGGCTGCTTGCTCAGTTCTAAGCAGAATACAACTCAGAGCTGCTACAGAGTCTCACTGGTTGACCAGCAGGCCACAAGCATCTGGCTTTTAGCAGTCCACATTTGCTATTAATGACAATTAGTCAATAATTTTTTTTAGCTATCACATGTTGGCAAGTTTTCTGTAATAGATTACCAACTCTTCAAAGAGAGGACTTTGTACTGGTCTGACCCAGCTGTCTTCTAGAAGACATTTGCTACTGTGACCAACTTTTAGGATACTCTACTCTTCTTGATTTTGAGAGCTCATCTACTGTGGTTCAAGGTGTGCTCTACCTCACGGAGAAACTGATTGGAGCAGGTCACTCCCACGATGCTCATAAATCACAACATTCTTCCCAGGCACCTGTCCTAAAGTCAACAGTGACCTGAACAGAGCTGTGATGCAGTCAGCAGGGAGCTCTCCAAAGGTGCAGAAAAGGCATCATCTCTTTTATCTCCCCCAAAGTGGTATCTTTCCCCCTTGTACTGTCATGTTTATCAGAATAATAAATTAATAATCTGACAAACCACCCTCCCGTTCTCATTGTATTTAACCAGCTTGAAATGCTGGATTCTTCAGTGCTGCATTTCTCTGCCAGCGACAACACTGGCAGCCTGGGATGTGCCAAGTTCTTGGCTCTCAATTGCAAAACAAAACAGTATAGGAGGGAGTTTGTGAGTTAGCTGATTTGCAAACACGACAGCAAGTCACTGCATAAATACTTGTTTTTGTGTACCTATCTTTTTCCCAGGCAGTTACCTGGATCCCATCCTGACAGCGGCCAAATGTGCTGCTCAAGTTACCCATGCTTCCTCCATTCACACTTAAGTGAGTTCAACTTATTCTGCATCATTAAGAAAGCAAAAAAAATAAAAAACAAAAACAAAAAAATAAACAAACAAACAAACAAAGCCCCCAAACCTTCATTAAACAGTAATCACAGAGCCTCTCAGCGATTATGGTAGGAGAGTCACCAACGTCACTCAGAATCAACATCAGGTCCACAGTGTGTGTCCATAAGGGTACACGAAGATGCCATTCAAATGGAGCCAACTCGGGAATTAAGAGGAACGAAGACGCCACACTTACATATGTGGGGGTTGGTTGAAATTTCCCAACATGAGTTCATCCTGACTGCCTCTAAGTAAAAGGCAATCTGGGAATGTGGATATTCTTTCCACGCTCCCAACTCCAAATACCTGTTTACTAAGTAATCACACAAACCGACAACAACATATACTGGGCCAAGCATTCGGACTGAATGTATGTGGCAAGCATTCGGACTGTTCACCAGAAGCCTACAAGGCAGGTTCTTCAATTTCCCATCTGCTTCCAGTTGAAGAATCAGAGGATCTGTACACTTATGTGACTTGTTAGTCCCAAGGTGGTAAGAAGCAGAGCCACCATCTGAATACAGATGCTCCTTATTCCAGAGCCTGTATTCTTACTCATTTTGCTAAATTCGCTTTCTGTATCAAAATAAAAACGGAATAAAACTTCTACATGACAAAAGATACTTAGGTGACCCCACGGAGCACTGGCAGTTTCTTTTCCATGTGTATCCCGCAAGGACCTTTCCATTAGAATGCTTCTGTGGGAACACTAACTTCCAACTTACCAAAATCCACGATGGAAGCACCAATCCTCTGGTAGAAAAAGAAGTTAGGATCAAGAAGTTTCAATGAAACTGGAAAGAGGAAAAACTGCAAGGTTGTTTTTTGGGGTTTTTTGTTTGTTTGTTTGTTTTAACATTTTCATAGTATTGCAGGGTCAGACATTAGTAACCGAGCTTATCTAACCTAGTTCTTGCCCCAGGCGGGGTGACTTAAGTCATCCCATAGACAGGAAGGTTCATGCAATTTGTAAAGATCTTACTGAATCCTACCTAGCTGAGAGGCAAGTTAGAAGAATCTCTTGACTGTCTGAGGCTCTGCAAAGTGCTTTGGAGCTTTTTAGAGGAAAGGTACAGCACAAATGCAAATTAATAACAATATAAATCAACTCAATTCCCTTATGCATAAGCATCTAACCCAACGAAAGGAATACGCGAGGCCCCAGGCTACAATGCCAGTCTTCGTCGGAAAATATATTTATTATTGATAGTGAGTGAAGTAAAGATGTCAGTATTCATGATCGAGAAGAGGTTGTATAAGCCAAGGTTGCCTTTATGAGGATAAAAAATGCCTTATTTCACTTGTAATCATAAACATCATTCCAGTAAAAGAGGTACATTTTTCTCTCCTTTTTGTCTTACTTACATGATCACTATAATAAGTTAAAATGAAGTAGCTCTTATATAGTAAGGGGAGAAAGGAACAAGAGAGAAACAACGTGCCACAGCCTAGACAATTCTACCCAGCACCGCTGGGCGGAGAGGGAGGTTTGGTGCCCCTCCCACCTCCCCACTCTAATTACCTTTGTCCCCTCTTTCACCCCCCACCATCCCAGACCCCAGCTTTGTTTGGTGAACGTTCACCAAACCATGGAGCCTGGTAAGAACAGAAAGTTAAAAAGGTGGAGGGGGTGCCTTTCTCTTTTAATGGTCATAAATGGGTTGACTAACACTGCAGTGTCCTTGCTGGCAGATACCTGATCTAGGCCTCGGCTTTTCACACTGCAGCTACTCAAACTGGGATGTGCTTCGGCTGAATCTGCTCTCTGGTGCTTCTCTTTAATCGTCTTCTCTTTAAATGGGTTACTTTCTCACTAGGAAAAAAAAAAAATGTTCCGCCTCTGGAATTAACGTTGAGGAGTTTTGCTTGTTCTAAAAGTTGAGTTTATCCTCCCTTCTCAAGCATGCTCTGCAAGAGAAAGAGAAAACATGGGTTTTAGCAGGAGGGACCGAAAAATGGCAGTAACTATTTAGTACTATCTGTATTACTTTTCAAAGATCTACTCAAAAACAGAAAAAACAAGGTGTATGCTCCATGGTCTCAAAATATTATTACCTTTAAAGAACACCACTGCTTAATCATGTATAATCTCCAAATGACCCCACCCCCACCACCATACCAAGCTGAACCTTAAGAGTGAGCATGGTCTGGACTGCGGGGTCGGGGGTTGGGAGTGCCGGACATGTGTGTTCTCTCACTACTAGGGACATCTGGAAATGTGTGGGAGTATTTCTGGTGGCCACAGGGACTGGGGTGGAGTGGAGGTTAAACCCCAAAGGTTCTGAGAGGGTAAGAATCTCTCCCAGAAATCTCTGCTCACTCCAGGCAGAATGCAGACGTTCATGAGTTCATAATGCTGGATGGAGCTACGAAGATAAGTATCTATTCCCAAATTGCAAAAATGGCCCCTATATTCTATTTATTTATTTTTGTGAATGGGGGTAGGGGGTGGTAAGTGGGAAGAATTCTCAAGTATCAGATTAAAACTCTCTAACTAGCCAGGACAGAAGATATATACTCTCTCCATTCTTAGGAAGCTTTAAAAGACAAAAGTGATGCTTTCCCATTTAGTTTTGAATTTACTTAGGAAGAAGAGGCTAGGTTGCCTCTACCTCATCTGTTCACACCTTCTTCCCTAGATCCCCCATGCTTCCAGCCATTTACTCACTCAGCTCTTAACTGAGTTCCCACTAGGTAATCACTAGACTGAGTGAGGTGTTACAGGGAAACCAATAGACACGCCCATGGAAAATTAAGGTGTAATATAATATAATAATTGGCTATTTTAAAAAACTTACTTGCTAAATACATGCTAAAAGTTGATTTTATTGAATAAGTAATACATACACACAGTATAAAATTCAAGATTCAAGTATTTATTCAAGACAAAAGAATACAGAGAAAAAATAATTTTTGCCTCCCGCCTGTTTCCCAGTTTCTTGGGTATCCTTCCAGAGAAGGTAACAGTTTAAAAGAGGAGTGAGTGGTTCTGCCTCATTCAGAAGAAGAGAACTCTCTAGAGCTGGATGGTCAGAGGAGGCTTCTAAGAGACCTTTCAGACCATCTTTCAGAGTCTTTCAGAAGCTAGACAGAAGGTCCAGGAGTAGGTTGAGGAGGGGTGAGGGCAGGAAGCAGCGGCAACAATTCGGAGGTAGGAGAAAGCCCAGTATGTGTGGGGGGCAGAGGAGAGAGATGAGCAGAGCTAGAGGAAAAGCCTGGCAAAGATACTTCCTATTGGCCTCTGGGAAAAAACCTGAGAATCCAACATGTCTTTAAATAGGAAAATGCCATTTAGGAAGGTTCCCCTGATGTCCATGGCCTAATGGATCCAAGAGATAAGAGTCTGGAGTGAAGAAGACCAGGGTGGAGGCAGATTAGGAATCAAGCAAGGGTGGGGATGAGAAATGGAGAGAACCATAAAAAGACAGGGGAAGGAAAAGAGAGGTGGCGATACCAAAGGTATGGTGATCCTCAGTGACAGAGACAATGGTGGTGCCACCAACAGAAAGAGAAAACAGTAGGAGGAGCCAGTTTGGGAATGAGGAAGGTGACTTAAATTTGGGGTTTGTAAAAAATCCCAGATGGAAATGTCTAGAAGGAAGTTGCAAACTTGAAAAGAGATGTCAACAGTCTTTAGAGATAAAGATTTAAGGCCAAAGATGAAGAATGATGACTGAAATAGAGGAGCAGAACAGAAAGAGTGGAAGGACAAATAAGAGAGCATGTTGGGTCACAAAAGCACAGGATGGATAGATTATCCTAAGGATAATCCTAACTCATCCTGGATTACACGTTTCTAAGGCTATGGCCACAGAGCACAAAAGAACAGATATGAAAGCAGGCAAACGAGTTTAGAGAGAACACATAGAAATGGTCATAAAGATGATACATTCAAGGAGGAAGTAAATTAGAAAAGCCAGATGCATCTAGAGAAAACAGGAAAGACAACACAGATAAAGCAGAGGATTGCTCAGCAGAGCTGTCTGGAAAACAAGCACTGAAACATGAGTTCTCTCTTAAACCCAGCATTCACATAAGCTCTGCATCCTTTGGAAAAATTAAAAGTTGAGCACCTACGATGTAAGAGTCAGACCAGACAATGTCCCAGTATCACAGCATCTCATTTATCCTCACCCACTTGAGGCTTGATCTGTATGAGACAACAACCACATGTCCAATTACTTGGACAGGAAACCATGGATTCCAGATATATAGATGACCTCACCACAACATCACACGTTAATATAAAATAGAAGTCAGTATGAAGCAGATTTATACCGAGCCCATCGAAAGGCATTTAATTACCGAAGAAAATGATCACTTTATGAGTGATGCCATTTTGCACTTTGGAGTTATACACTCACTACTTTCTTTAACATACCAATGGGAACTTTAAGCAATTATCTTCCTGGTCAAGATTACATGGCTGTGCCTCATACTACAGTTTAGGTCTTATGGTTACAATCACTATATGACAACGTGTTACTCTTTTCAAATGTTGCAAAATAATCCGCACTGACCACAATGTAACTAAAGCAATAGCTAAAGAGTTCTTCCAGAGTCTAGGGAATGAATCTTACTATTCTTCCTGCAACGCCATCCAAATACATAAGGGTAATTTTTTAGCCAGATTATGTAAGAATTTCAGACTCTCTTAAAATTTTTTAAAAATATGTATTTTTAATCTTACTTATATTTGAGAGAGAGAGACACACAGTGTGAGCAGGGGAGGAGCAGAGAGAGGGGGAGACACAGAATTCGAAGCAGGTTCCAGGCTCCAAGCTATCAGCACAGAGCCTGACGCAGGGCTTGAATTCATGAACCACGAGATCATGAACCGAGCTGAAGCTGGACGCTCCACCAACTGAACCACCCAGGCGCCCCTGGACTCTCTTAAATTTAAGAGAGACAAGCGAGGCCATGGCTGGTTTGAGGATCAGTGGGCCAGTCTAACAAAAAGACGAACAGGAACATTTTGGAGCAAGTACAAAACACAGAGAAATCACCACATTCACAGAATGGCCTGCTACATGTATTAAAATTCTAATTTTCAAAGATAGCACAGCAGTTCAGCTAATCCACGGGTGGCTCCTTGAAGACACAAGAACAAGGGAAGGTCTAGGGCTGGTCTACACACAGGCTATAAACTGTAGTGGCACTCAGATGCCACCAAACGGTGGCAGAGGTCGGTACAAAACCTGCTCACTTGGTCAGAGACAGCAATAAATACAACGTCAAGCTGAAATTTTTTAAAAACTAGACTGGCAAAACACCCTGTTATTACTGTATTGTAACTATGCAATAAAACCTGCTCAAAACCCAGGCCTGAGGACCTCTGGCTGGAGTGATCCCAAGGCCTGGAAAGGTCTGTGTCATTTAGTGTCACCTTATAGGTTCTCCCACAATCTCTGTATCGGTTCTGTAAGTAGCTGCTGTTGGGCTGAATTTCAACGCTGCATAAATTTAACACTGCATAAATTAACATAGGAAATTCCCCGAAGAATCAGGGAGAAGATTTGCAAGTTATAAAAAAAATTGCTTCCTTCATTTAAGGAACTGCTAACACTTCATCTTAATGTGGAGAAAGAAATTCCTCGCATTTGCTCATCATTCACGTATATGGGCCTGCAGAAACCCCTTTTAAAAACAGCTGGGTAAACTACCAAAAGGAGGGGACGGCTCAGGCATCAAGACTGCTCTCTCCCCAAGTCTTTTCCTGATCCCAGCCACCGAGGAAGGAACAGCTGGCAGCTCGCACCATCAGACAAGAGCAGTGCCCTTGGAGACCAAAGATTGCTTGTCATTTCCATTTATTAATATGATCTTAACTGTTTTCCTCAAATATTTTTGTTACACAGTCATCTCATCAACTGTTTTCTGAATCATAGCTTTCTTGAAGGGGTTGACTATCACAGCCGTGTGTCAGCTACTGGATGTCTCAATATATTTAAGAAGAATTATGGCAACCCTGGATTGCCGAACAATACCCATGAAGAGAATAAAAATGTGTGTGTGTGTGTGTGTGTGTGTGTGTGTGTGTGTTTTAAAGATACCATTCAGAGTGCTTGTCTCTTGAGCTCACCCAACATCTCGCCAAGATTTCAACAGCCCCCCTGAAGCTGGATATGGAAGCGGGAAAGGCTTACAGGGGAGAACTAAAATGGGAATGTGTCTGGGTATGCCTGAGTTTTTACCAAGGAGGGACATGAAAAGTGGGAGTAAAAGAAAGAGAGTGGTGAAGACACAGTGAGGAGACTCTGAGATAGAAGCAAAAGTAATCAATAAATTCAATTTATGAGGAGCACAGAGAGCCTTGCCCGTGCACCGAGCACACTCCTGACCACCTGAAAATCTGATTAGCTAACTTACTGTGTTCTCACTCTCTGTCTGTCCCTGACCAGCAAGGGCTGTTCTTTATCCTGCTTCATGCATGGATCTGGTTTCATTCCTTCCGTGACATATATTCTGTGTAATATGCAAATTAAGTTACAGGTAATTAACTGTTTACACAACTTGCTGTAATAATAGACAAAACACTAACATACTGCGGTTCTAGCTCTTGAAGGATAAGCACTAGAAAAGAAATGCCTATTAGGAAGAAGGAGTCTATTACCATGGTAATATCTCTTCTATTAAACCCAGATTAAAAAAAAAGAAAACATCGTAAAGTGTCTATTAGTCTCAGAAACTGGTTTTGAAACCACTTTCCTATGATAGAAGGGTTCCTATGATAGAAGAGACTGGTTTAACACACTTAAAGTTTGGAATTTAGTTTGCTTCGATGTGACTCCAAATCCGAAGGGTCGCCCCACCGAAGGACGGGAAATCTATTGTGGAACACCCACGTGTCATCCTGAATATGAGCAACCCAGCTCGGCAATTAATACATGTCATTAGGTGATGATGAT